AACTTACACAACACAGAGGCCTCGTTCTCAAGCCACTATGGCTACAATGACCCTCGGAGGCCTATTGAAGGGGCACGTCTTTCTTCCAGCTATCTTCCAGGGCTTTTTTTTTTCTTCTGAGATTTCTTGGAGACTGACCACCTGTTCCCTGAAAAACTTAGTTACCTATACTTATATCTCCTTTAAGAAAAAAATCTAACATTCTGTAAGCAGTTTCAAACATATAGAGAAAGGTAAAGAATGATATAACAAACCCCTCCATGTGCCCATGACCCAGCTTCAACAGTTAATATCTTATGGAAAATCTTGTTTCATCCAAATCTCCACTTCCTTCTCTTCCCTGATTATTTTGAAACAGATATCCAATATCCAATGATTTATAAATGTTTCATTATGTATCTCTAAAATGATTTTTGGGGAGGTATCAGGTTTTGAATCCAGTGGCATTTAACCACTGAGCCACATTCCCAGCTTTTTTTTTATATTTTATTGAGATAAGTTCTCATTAAGTTGCTTAGGGCCTTGCTCAATTGCTAAGGCTGGCTTTGAACTTGTAATCCTTCTGCCTCAGCCTCCTGAGCCACTGGGGTTATACGCGTGTGCCACTCATGGCCGGCAGTGATATGATTATTTTAATAAGCAAAGCTATAATATTACTATATCTGATGTTAAAAAAAAATCAATGTCATAAAATATTAAGACAAGCTATAATTTTGATTGTTTCATAATCTTTTAAAATCATGACTGAAACAGGATTCCTATACTGTAATTATTGGTTAAGTCTCTCATGACTCCTTCAATAAGTTTCCCCTCTCCATCTTGCCTTCCCTCTTATCTCTTTTGCAGTTTATCTGTGAAACACTGGGTGGTTGTTCCTGAAGAGTTACTCTCAGCCTGGATTTTGCTAATTGGATACCCATGTGTCATTTTATTATGTTCTGTCTCTGTATTTCCTGTAAATTGGTAAGTAGTTATCTTGATCAGATTCATGTTTGATCCTCTGGCAAGGCTTTCAAAGGTTGTTTTGGTTCTTCTATATGGAGCACATAATTTCTTAATGTTCCTCTTTTTTTTTGCAGTTACTGATGTGCATTACCTTGATCCATCATTTCAACAGTTTTTGAAATATGATATTCTAATTTGTCATAACTTCTATGTTTCTCCTTTAAAGCAATCCTTTGGAGGAATGTATGAAAAATGGTCTTTACTTTCACACATCTTTACTTTCATACATTGTTCATTAACACCCCTAACTTGCCTTTAGTACACTAAATCTGTACTTTCTTTTGCAGCCAACATATGAGTGTTTCCACTGAGAGCACACAGGCACTCATGCCAATAAAAAGTTCAGCCTAAAGGTTCAGAAAAAAAAAAGTCTGATAAGCTGGACTCAATTATGATTTAGACCACTTGTAGTTTGAGAGGCACAGCTAAGTAAATGAAAGTCAAGTCACAACTCAGAGAAAATATTTGAAAATCACCTGTCTGGCAAGGAACTAAATCTAGACTATATGAAGAACTCTTAAAAAAAATCAGCATGAGGAAATCAAACAATGCATTAAAGAAAAAAAACTGACAAAATAGTTGAACAGATACTAATACCCAAGAAGACATACAAATAGCAAGTAAGCACATAAAAAAGATATGCAGTATCATTAGTCACTAAGAAAATGAAAGCTAAAACCACAGTGAGACAATATACTTACTGGATGTCTAGAGTCACCATGACAGGCCATACCAAATGCTGGCAAAGATGTACAGCAACTGCAAGCCTTATTCATTGCCCAAAGGAAGGTAAAAATGGTACAACTCCCACCGAAAACAGTTCTGCAGTTGCTTAAGAAATTAAACATGTGACTATTACATGACACAGTCACTCCACTTACAGGTATTTATCCAAGAAAAATAAAAGCATATGTCCATATACTGACTTCATTCATGCATGTTCACAGCCTTAATTATGATTGCCCCAAAGTGGAAAGAACCCAAATGTCCATCAACAGATGAATAGATAAACAAATTGGGGTAAATCCACATAATCTATCCTCCCCAGCAATAAAAAATATCTAAAAGGCATATGTATTATGTAACACTTAATAAGTAGACTATAGAAATATTTTAAATAGTTTTCTTTTTTTGCAAAAAGTGTAATTTTAAACACCGGAGTCAGGAATTCATATTTTTAAACATTAAAATATTACGTTCCTGTGCATTAGGCACCTTGCTAAGAACCTCAATTCTATTCTCTTTATTCTTTGTAACAATTTTACAAAGTAGTTGTTTCATTCCAATTTTACAGATGAAAAAACTAAGGATCAGAGACGTTAACTTGCCCAAGGTAACCCAATTAACAAAACAGTAAAAAAAATCCTTTAATTGACACTGCCCAGTACTGCTGACAGATTAAAATTCAAACACACCAGCAAAATATCTGAGGCCCTGAGCAGTGGCCCAAGCTAGGTAGCTTGGGCCATCTGCACTTCCCATTCTACATGTCAGGCCTGTTTGGTTTTGCCTCAATGGATATCTAGCAACTTCACATCACTACCCTAATTCATGTTGTTTTCTCATTCACGCCAATTAAGTCCTACTTATCCTTCAAAGCTCAGTTTAAATGCTATGATCTCCTTCACAAAATTCTCTCTGATTCTCCTTCCCTAGGTCTGTCCTCTGACATCTTTGTCAAACACTTATCTCAGTCTATCCTTTTGTTGCAATCATTGTTTATATATAAATGCTCTGGGTTACACTTCAAGGATAGGCCTAGAATATTTATCTTATGTCCCCTACTTGACCTAGGCCAATGCATTTACACATATGGTCTCAAAAGTATTTTGTTGCTTTTTTTTTAAGGAAACAGAGAAAGAATGAATATGAGAATTGCTCATCTGCCTAGTCAAGACCCCATTATGAGCAAGTACTATGAAAATCCTTCAGAGCTTGGTTTCCACTCCTGGGAACTTATCCAAAGCACTCAACAGTAACAATGTTGAATGTAGGAAATCCAATGTAGAAAAGGGAAAGAAACAAAAGCAAAATGCCATTAGGGACATGATTTAATCTGTCACTGTACATTAATGCTACATACTTATATAACTGTGAAAAGGTATAATTATAAAAACTATATAGAAACATTTGTTAAGTGCAAACAGGAGTATACACAATAGAGCAGCTATTGTAACAACAATGCCTTAAAATATGTATACATTCATTCATTCAATAAATATTTACTGAGTATTGCCTTAAGTTTATACTCCAATGGGGACAACAATAAGCAATGAAAAATTAGTAAAATATGTGGTACAGTTACAGGTTCATATATGGGATGGAGAAAAATAAAGTAGGCAAGGGAGAGGAGTATTAACATGTAGGTTGCTATCTGTATGAAGATGCCCAGGTAAAGCTTTCCTTAGTAGGGAGATTTGTAATTTGGAAGTTAGACACTCATATGAAAGGTGATAAGGAAAAACCGAAAAGTTTATGCTAGGCTTATAGAATTAGACAAGTTCTTTTTTACATTTATATAAATATTTGTTACATTTCTTAAATACTATTTTGTTTTCAAAGTTGTTACAAAAAATGAATAAGCACTCCAAAGTTCCACTGAAAGAGAAATATGTTAAGTGAAAAAAAGAACCACCCTCCATTAATCCTCTACTACTTCATTAAGTGGATTTATTTTTGTACCAATATTGACACCACCACTTCTCCAATCCGATTTACCACTAATCCCCAACATGATCCTCAGATTTAAGACAAGGTACCAGGCTTGCAACTCATGCTTATTTCTAGAATTCATCTAACTTGAAATGTCTACCTTCGGTGTATGAATGCAAATCCTATTCTTCAAATATCAATGCATGTAGAAAGTCTCCACTAAGTCTCTTAGGGATTACTCCACTTTGGTTACCCTGGCCTTATGAAAATGCCAAGGGACCTTCTTAGGCAGAGAACAGGTAAGTTTAGACTAAGCACTGGTTTGCAGGAGATGGTAGGGAAGACAGGAATGATGTATTAGAACGCAAAGAAGAAGGCATTTAATTCTGCCACAGGGGAGGCAGAAGACTTAGAATCTAACTACAAATAGGCTGACTTGGTTAGAAGACATGGGCAAAATAAGGAGAGCACCATGCAAAGAGAGAAGAAACTGGGCAAACATAGCAAGGACCACAAAAATGCTTGGTGCTTTGAGGAATAATAGAGATTTCAAATGTAAGAAGACTGCAGGGGAAATTGGGCTTGAGTGACAGCCTAAATCCCTTAGAGTGGAGGTATAAAGTCACTAAAGGCTGGTTTTTATTTATTCGTATTTATTCTTATTTCTTCTCACTGAAGGCTTTAAAATGCAATGTCTGAAATGGTAATCTGACCTTCAAAGTGGAGAATGGACGTAAAGGGAAGAGACAGCGAATGAATTAACACAAGGCACATGTTCTAAAGATGTTTATTAAATTAATGAAATTATCCAAGAACAGAGAGAAATCTTTCAGTCCTGACTGCATTTCAAGGCAGCATCACATGGTGAGCACTAAATTGTTCTCCATTTGCTTTGAATATATTAGTTTTGTCTCCTGTCAAGATTATAAAACTGAGGTTGTAGCTCAGTGGTAGGGCACTTGCCCATCATGTATGAGGCACTGGGCTGTTCCTCAGCACCACATTAAAAAAATAATAATAAAATAAAGGTATTATGTCCTTCTACAACTAAAAAATATTTTTAAAAAAAGATTATAAAACTTAGGAAAGCACAAAGATGAAGTAGGACAACTCTAGGTGCTGTTTGTGATCTTGACCTGAGTCTCAGTTTCCTAGCCTATAAAATGTAGTATCATGTGCCTTTGCAGGATGTGAAGAACTAGAAACAGTAAATACATGTAAACCACCAGCACAGTACCTGGCACATAGTAATCCCTCAATTAATATATATTTATACACTATTTTTGGTATTCAGCATAATAAGCTAAGCTTATAATACCACACTAAAAGGTTTATTAGGAGGCTCGTTCGAGTGCTCGTGGCGGCTTCGCCGCACTGGGGAAAGATGGTGGGCCGGAACAGCGCCATCGCCGCCGGCGTGTGTGGGGCGCTCTTCATGGGCTACTGCATCTACTTCGACCGCAAAAGGCGGAGCGACCCCAACTTCAAGAACAGGCTTCGGGAACGAAGAAAGAAACAGAAGCTTGCCAAGGAGAGAGCTGGGCTTTCCAAGTTACTGGACCTTAAAGATGCTGAAGCCGTTCAGAAGTTCTTCCTTGAAGAAATACAACTCGGTGAAGAACTGCTAGCTCAAGGTGAATATGAGAAAGGTGTGGACCATCTGACAAACGCAATTGCTGTTTGTGGACAGCCACAGCAGTTGCTGCAAGTGTTACAGCAAACTCTTCCACCACCAGTGTTCCAGATGCTTCTGACTAAGCTCCCAACAATTAGTCAGAGAATTGTGAGTGCTCAGAGCTTGGCTGAAGATGATGTGGAATGAGAAACGTCAACATAATAAAATCTCAGATAAAAATGTTAAAAATTGTTAACTTGGAAGATGAGCAGCTCTGGGGGAATAAGGGCAAATGTGTTTGTTATAGACTGTCCTACACTGAAATCTACCAAAGTTATTGTTTGCTTTGTGTAGATCCATTCATTTGTTTTATTTATTTTTCCCAGTGAAAAGTGTATTTTGATAGAGCTTTTCATTTTATAAATACACTATAAGTTACCAAAATATCACAGATTTTATGTATTCCTAAGACATGCAGTTAAAGTGTATGCATGGCATAGGTTTCTTGGGCTAAAAAACAGCCAGTTCTCAGTTTTAAAAGTTAAGCAAAAAAGTGTGAAGAGTGCACATTTTTTAAGCTAGTACCTTTTACTATAAATCAGAAAATTGGATAGAAACTTCATTGTTTGTGAAAATGGAGCATTAAATCTTTGAGAGATCATTTCATCTCTGAAACATGAGGTGTGCTACTGTGCTGTGTTAACTTTACCTCCTCCCTGTGTATCAGTCCTAAAATCTTTTATTTAAATCAGTGGGCTTCTGTGTTCTAGGTATTATATCCTTATTTTAAGAATATGGGGTTGCAAATGGCACCAGGAGTTAGATCTGTGTGCACCTGGTGTCACCACATGAGCTTCGCCAGTACATGTTTGCTCACTTTCCTCATTCATAGAAGGAGAGACTGGTCTGCTGATCCCTCAAGGGTCCCTTTAGTTTGCAATTCACCTGAGTGTATTTGTGCAGCCAGGCCTTGCATTTTTTTTTTTTTTTT